CGCCCTCGCCGCCGCCGCAGCCGCCGCCGCTGCTCCACCGCCGGGGCGCCCATCGCGGCCGCTCCGCTGCGCTCCGACCGCTCCCCGCGCCGCGCCGAGCCCCGCCGGGCTCCGCAGCACCGCCCCCGACCGCCCCGCACCGCCCGCCCCTGCACGGGCGGGACGGGGCGGGGACGGCCGGGCTGGGGGGCACTGCCCTCAGCCCACTGCTCCCAACCCACTGCCCACTGCCCCCAGCCCACTGCCCACTGCCCTCAGCCCACTGCCCACTGCTCCCAACCCACTGCCCACTGCTCCCAACCCACTGCCCACTGCTCCCAACCCACTGCCCACTACCCACTGCTCCCAACCCCCTGCCCACTGCCCACTGTCCTCAGCCCACTGCTCCCAACCCACTGCCCCCAGCCCACTGCCCTCAGCCCACTGCCCACTGCTCCCAACCCACTGCCCGCTGCTCCTAACCCACTGCCCCCAGCCCACTGCTCCTAACCCACTGCCCCCAGCCCACAGCCCAGGGCTCGCACCACCCGCAGGGGTCCAGCTGCGGGCACAACCCAGCCTGGCCTCAGCTTCGCTGGGCATGGCTCCCTCGCTCCCACCACAGCTCCCGACCCCTCCGGGGCGCTGGGGCACAGGACAGCCCAGGCACAGCCTCCCCATCCCTCTGCTGCTGGGGCTCCCAGGCTGGAGGAGCTGGGCTGGCCGGAACCTTTCCTCTGTCCTTCCACGTGAAGTCATGATTAGTATTGCAACAGTAATGCAGGTATCTGTGGGCTCTGCTGAGCCAGGCGTGTTGTGCACACACAAGGGAACAGCTGCCTCTGCAGGGTCCACAGTGGTGCAGGGACACCATTATCCAGGAATGGCACTGGAATTACATGATGGATCTACCTTTTTTGTTTGGAGAGCCATCTTCGGCTGACATGAACAGCAGAGTAGATGGAATATCTCTGTTCCTATAGTCTGTTTCCCAGGAGCTGCCGTGGCTCATGATACAGACAGAAACAAAAATAAACATCACTGCAAATATTTTTGATTAGTTACTAAGCACTCTCGTTAAAGAGGGTCTCCTTCCTGAGGTAGCACCATCAGTTTCTTGTGATTCTGAAGCTGACCAGCAGGGCAGTTTCCAGCTCTGCTCTTGTGCATTCACAGGTTGTGCTCCTCCACCCAACTTCAGCAACACTGCTGTCCCTGTTGGTCCTGGGTAGGCAGAGCCAGCTCCCATCCAGACAGTAAATGGAGTTAACAACTGGCCTAGGATGTAACTATGGAAGAGGTGTTTTGTTTTGGTTTGTGTTTTTTTCCGGATAGGATACACTCCCTTCCCTCTGGCAGGGCAGGTTTTATCCCATGGTAAACAACTGTGAAACCTGTAGCGCTGTGAAATGCTTCAGCAAGTCACCCCAACTTATGAAAGAGATCCTGGCTGTCCCACTGCTGGCTCCGACTGATGCCATGGGAAAGCAATCAACCCACTGTGAGGTGAGAGGAGTTTGGGTGTGACCATCCCCACTGCCAACACAATGGAGCACTGTGACAGTGCTCCCAAAATACTCCCTTTAAATCTAAATGTCTATTTGAAGTCTGTAACTTCTCGAAAATGTGACCCTGAGAGTCACTGCAAAATCATTACTCTCTCCTCCATCACAGGCCTCCTCTTGCCCCGTTACAGGGCTGCTCGTAAATACCAGGCGTGAGCTCGCTCTCTGGAGAATTGAGACTGGGAATGTCTGGGAAGCCTGTGAAGCTTAGGAACAAATTTCCCATTCAGAATTACAAAGTAATTTAACAAATTCCTTACTAGCATAGTGAGTACTAGCTCCTGAAACATCTCCATTTCTGGGGAGCAATAAGACAGGAGAATTCCCTCTTCTCTCCCACTAATAAACTGGTGTGTGGGTGGAACAGGCTTTGAACTGCTCCGTCTGCAGGAGGAAACAGAAGGAAGGGAATTGCCAGAGATGTTACTCTTACGAAAGAAAAGCTTTATATTTATCTTCTACAGGAGTCTTCTACAAGAAAAAACAACTGCTAGAGAAAGAACAGATGTAACTAAGATGCTGCTGAACATTATAGAGTTTGCTTTATATCATCTCTGCCACTTTCATCTTTTCACTCTTGCTCCCCTTCTGACCATTTCAGTACCCTTCAAGGATCATCTCTTGACCACCTAATGCACAAGCAGTGCAGGAACTTAATAATGTGTCACCTTTGGGCCATCAGATCACACCTACATGCCACCTGACTCCTCCTGCTTTAAAAAAAAGAAAAGGTATCTGATGATCTTGGCACTCTTTGGGTGCCAATCAGCAAAGGTGCAGATCAGAGGTGCTGTGGCTGTTGGAGCTGGTTGCAGGTAGCAGAGCCTCCACGTGTTCTTTGGAGTTCCTTCTGCAATCCAAGAGAGGAAATCCTATTTAGCTGGCTCAGCACCAGCTGGGCTGAGGGTGGGAGTCAGATGCACGAACATCTCCTCTTACACTATCACAGTCTCTGCAGGGCAGGAGCTGCTGCTGCTTTCAGCAACTGCTCACAGGTTCCAGCCAATGTCTGGGTACCTGTGTGTGGTGGGATCCTACCCAAAATAACAGCAGAAGGACTGTCAGGCTGATACTCTTGTTGGACCCATCAGGCCAGGAGCCAGTCTTAACGCCAAACTGAACAGGACTCAGTTGTAAGTCTGAATCAGTGTAATGGTGTTCAAGTGTGCATGAAACCTCACCTTGGGGCTGAAAAAGAGCAGAGGTGCTAAGGAAAGTCTTCCTTTCCCAGCCACATCCTGCAAGGCTTTACTGACGCATGTACATTCTCCACAGGTCACTGCTGGCATATCTGCTTGCTGCCAGGTAGACCATTCTCCAAGGAGGGCCATGGACACTCCAGAGGAGGTTCCCTTAGTTCCCTTAGCTCTGCAAGGGCCCTAGGAAGGTTCTCACAGAGCTGGCTCTCAGAGGGGCAGAAAGAGGTGCTCCTGTTTCTTTCCAGAGCCTCATCACAGTATAAAACCACATAAAGCATTAGGAGAAAACCGTGTAAATCACAGGATACAGATGTGCAGAGATGACAGCCAGATGTGCCTTAGTGGAGCTAAGGAGCAGTCATGACTGTTGCAAGGAGAGCAAACAGCCTCGCGTACTTGGCGTTTTCCCCTGCAAGCCACGCCAAGTTCTGCTCTTCAGACCAAATAGAGATTTTCTTCTGTTTGGACTGGCAGATTACGCTCACAAAGAGCTTTCAACTCTGGAGAAAAATATTTGGGATTCATGCAGAGCAGAATGTTTCGGTGTACATTGGCCAGTCAGAACCCAGCTGCCAGGGATGGTGATCCCCAACTGGCGGGCAGCACCCCGGGTCCGCTCGGAGGGCCGACAGGGGATGGACACCAGCACGTGAGAGTGGTCCTGGAGCTTTGGCCAAACACGGACAGGGGCACCATTAGGCTGGGGTTGGGCGGTGCTTCCCAGCAGAGACCACCCTGAGGCACCTGCGTGGCAGAATCACCAAGTCTCACTGCTGTTGCTCACACAGAACTGCTGTGGAGACCCACCTGAGCAGTGCGGGTGGCCCAGAAAGGACAGTGAGGGGTTCCTTGCACTTTTAGTGCAGGGCCCTGCTTTTCTAGCATGGCTCCTGAGCCCTTGCTCCCACTCTCTGCCTACAGAGAAAGCCTCACCCTCCACTCAGGCATCACCTGGCACACACACACACGTTAGCTGGTTGTGCATCCACTCTGAGGCTGTGGTGCCTGAGCACAGCTGCAGTTCAAGGTTCAAAGCAACAGCCTCTCAGCAGGACGGGGGTAGCTCAGCGTGGTTGCTTCTCTCCTGTGAAGTAAGACAGGCTGGCTTACACCAGCTGTTTAATCTGCAAGCCTTAGGCACACACACATCCTCTGCAAGCCACAGAGAGGATGCAATTAAGCACTCTGCTGATTACCGCTGGTGGCAGCTCCCTCCTTCCTGCCTGGGATCCCTCGGTGAGCAGAAAGCCTGTGTGGGTGATCCTCCCCTGCTCCCACGTGGAGTTCCGTGTCTGAATGAGCCAGTTCCAGTAAATCTGACCAGCCTTGCCCCGAGAGAGGTCAGGGGGTGGGTGTACACAGGGATGTCACTGCGAGCTGGTGGTCAGCAGCTGAAGGCACCATGCCTTTCCTCAGCTCCTGGCAGTGCCATGTGCAGCAATGACAAACCACCTCTTTTCAGTCACCACTCAGACTCTGGGTTCAGGGTGGTTCAAAAGGTTGTCCAGCTGAGGCAATTTCCATGTAAAAACAGTTTACAGTAGTTTAGGCTATGCCTGTCCCCATTTGATTTAAGAGCATTTAAATAAGTTTGCATATGCTTAGATAAAACGGCTTAAGGTCACAGCCTTGGATAACGCTGGGTGTCCTCTTCCTGAAGGCTGGCAACTCTCCTCTCTCTGAAAAGCCTGAGCAAAAGTGTTTGCAGTTACAGCCTTTGGGTGAATTTGAGTTTTCGGGGAATCATTGGTACGGCCCCAAATCTTCCTGCAGCCTGAGGGAGGCCCATCTCCATCACAGAGCCAACAAACCCGCCCTCCTGTGCTCCCCAAGTGATCCCTTGAGCAGATCCATCAGAAGTACTTGCAGGGTGGGAACACCTGCTGTGCCCAGGCAGCTCACCATGGGCTCCAGGGCAGCCTGACAGCCTCTGTGCCCTGCCAGAGCAAGAAAGGAGGGGTGGCAGCAGGGCAGCACACAGCCATGGACAAGGACATTTGTCTCCTCTGGGTTTGGGGCCACAGAATAGAGGAAGTGACCACAGGAAGAGTGAAGAGAACAGCACTGAGGCAGTGGGTCCATTCTCAGGATGTGCCCACAGCCCCCGTGCTGTTTGTCTGTCCTGGCAGGCAGCAGAGGGAATGCACTCTCCCTCTTTTAGCTCTCTAGGAAAACCAACAAGGCTGTTGCAGAGCTGAATTCTGGCTTGCCTTCTGCCAGAGGGTCCTGGTGGCTAAAGGAGGGCAGCAGCATCTGGCTCCCACACTCCTCTTCTGTACTGTACTCTATCTCAGAAATATTTTCTAAAGCTTTCCATGTCTTCTCTCCTTGATTCAGATTCATGATTAAATACACACATGAACAAGCAAACTAAAGAAATAATATACACTGTATTTGTATGTGTACATTGTGTTAGTCCCTTTTTGAGGCTTGGAGATATTTTCTTCTCCAGCCCTCTTTTTAGGTGCTATTTTCCCTTACTGAGGCCAGCAGGATGGCAGCCAGAGAGGCAGGACAGAGCAGGACAGCCCTTCCCTGTCAGAGCCCCCGAGAACTTTTGCACAGACACTGTGCTCCCTTCCCAGGGCTGTTTGTCCCAGTACTCAAGTCTCTGCTATCGGCATGTCTTTGGGAATATCTTGTGGCAAGGAGAAGCAATTACCAAATTGAGTGTGCAGAGCATAAAAGCCAACTAGGGTTCTTTCTGGATGAAAGAGGCAATAAAAATGCTGGTATTAATAGAAAAATATTTGTTACTTCATGGGATATCAGGGCTTCCTGTGGTTTGAGGCTGTGTCTTGCATAGCTCGTTGCTGAACGCCTCAGGATGACTCTTTCCTTTTTCTCTTTCAGCAGCAGCCCGTTGGCTCTCCAGCCAGTGATCTGGTTCACAAACAGAGCGGTTCTGTGCCTCCTTATCAGCCGTCCTCGTGCTCCTCTCTCTCCCCTTCCGCAGGCGCGCGCCGGCGCACACGGGCCGTGCTGTGTCCGCCTGCACCCTGCCTGCAGAGAGGCTGCACAGTGACAGCTGGGCTGCAGCAAAGCTGCTGCTCTACCTGCCTGATAGCACTGGAAAACCAGCAGCATTTAACAAAATTAAAGGACAGAAAATTCAAAACAAATGCAAATGAAATCCTACTACGTGCACTGGAATTGTCCTGGAGGGCCCTTTGCCACAGTGAGCTATTTCTGAGGCCAAAAAAATTACTGAAAAGCAGAAGAAGGATGGGTAGCTGGGTAAATATTGAGAATAGCAGTGTCAGAATGAATCCTAACATTTGTTTATCCAAAACTCACAGTTTACAACTTGTAGAAGTCTAAGAAAACAAAAAGGATCATGAAATCTAATATAAATCTGAGATCACCACCAACCCACCTGCTCCTTTACTGCTGAACCCCTCCACGGTGGCCTGCTGTCCTCCAAAAAGCATCACAGGCTGGTAACACTGGTGGGATGCCAGTCTCTGCCCCCACGTTCCTCATGTATCCCTGTCCCCCCGTGCCCACCCTTGCAGACAACAACTCACAGAGACTGCTCACACAATTTTTTTCCCCTCAGGCTGTATGAAAGCACCTTCTCTTTTCTGCCTTTTTTGGACTCTCCTGTGACTTCCTTAGAATCATTTAAGCTGAAAAATATCTCTAAGACTGTCGAGTCCAACAAGTAATCAGCAGCGCTGGGATAACAGTTGAACACAAGCACTTGATAAGCCCTCTAGGACAGAAACTCTTCTCTGCCTCAAGCTGCTAATGCAGCACTTTCCACCATCACAGGCAGAACCACAGCGAGCCACCAGCATCCCAGCACCCAGGATGTGAGTTATGAGTGAGGCACACCTGGGTCCTGCTGATGCATCACAGCTCATGGCATGCAGATGGGTCAGGAGGCAGGTGGAGACCTGCTGAGGGGACCGTGACCACGCACTGCTCAGCAGCAGCACAGCCCAGCAGGCTTGGCCCTCCTGGGGAGCTGTGTGTGCCCAGGAGAGCCAGAGAGCTCGGAGCTGCTGTCCAAGATGCCACGGCAAGCTCCTGGGAGAGGCTGTGCCCACCCGCACAGGGGATCCCATCCTGCACAGCTGCTGCCCTCCCCTGCTTTGTCCCTGCCAGCCCACTGCTTCTCCTCGTCCCTGCATGGCAGCACTGCCACCTTCCTGCGCTTCAGTCTGTCCCCCAGCTTGGGAATGTCCTCGAGTTACCAAGGACATGTTCTGGCCACCCCCCAGGCCTCTCATAAGGACCGAACAGCACCAGCCTGCAAGGAGCACTTCCTTCCACAGCCCAGCTTGGCATCTCTGGCAGATCCCGGCCATGGGCCCCTCCAGGGTCCCCATCGCCTCAGCAGAGGTGGCTGCCCTTGGGTGACCCCACTGGGCTCTCTCAGGTCCCTCTGTGTGACTTCCCTCCAGAGAGCAGGTAAATCTTCCTCTCCTCCACCCTCTTGGCAGCATGCCTGGTGTTAGCGAAGGCTGGAAAGGGCGACTGCCAGCAAGAGAGGAACGCATGGTCTGCAGGAGAGGTGCAAGAGCTTTCAGCCCCAGGGGATGTTTGTTCCCTTCACACTGGAAGGACCTGTACGTGGCAGAGATCCCCGGGATGATCTCTGGGTTGGTATCCGAAACTGGCTCATCAGCACTTCACACAGGAGCTGATGCAATCGGATCCCAGAGCTGCAGCTTCATCAAATAATCCACAATTACGAGAAGAAATGTCGCTGCTCGGCTGAACGAGCTGAACTTACTGGCCCAGCTGAAGCAGCTTAATTAAAGTCACTGGAAGGAAGCTGTGATCATCCTTCCTGTGAGTAGAGATACTCACAGGTTTATTGCTTACCATTTTCCCTCCCAATTCCGGATATAGGAGAAGGTGGAGAAGTAGTTTATGTAGGAAGCTTCACTGGCATCCTGAACTGTGAATGAAACATGCCTGGGTTGACAGAAAACCAGAGTTCACTGGGCTGTTATCCCCTGCCCAGCAGTGGTCCTCACTTACCTGCCTATAAATGTGTTAAGTGACAAAATTCTTCACCAGTTCTAAGCAACAGAGCACAAATATGTTAGAAGACAACTCGTGGATATTAACTGTCACTTACTCTTGAAGAGGTGGTGATAGCATGCAAACAGATCAACTCCTGCTCAGACTCAGTTCCAGCCACATTCCAGTCTCAGATTTATCAAGGGATGCATCTTGGAGCGCACAGGTTGCTCCTGGAGACATCTAGTGAGGCAGCAGCGTAATGCAAACCAGCACAGGCACCCAAAAACATTCCTGTGGAGAACTGTGACCCCATGCCCACCGAGAGCTTTGAGTCCTGTGCAGTGTATGAAACAGGGTGTCAAATTTCTGGTCTTGTAAGACACACCTCTCCAACTCTGTTAACAAAATCTTTCATTCTCTCTGGTATCAGATTTATTTATCTTATACTGAACACAACAGGCTTAAACACACGTCTGTGCACACACACTTAAACTGCTCCACTGCTTAACAGGCACTTCTACATGTTAATTATACCGAAGTTAAGTATGTACAAGACTGCCTTTAAAGAAATAGTTTAAAACTACCCTAAAGGTATACAAAGCAGCAGGGAGTTCACCAAAGCACATTTCACCTTCCAAACAAGCAGATTACACGAAAGCTGTAGTAGAGCTGTTGTGTATTGCTGGTAAAACAGCTTTGATTACCTTTTAGTCATTAAGTCCTTCAGCAGTTCAACTGAGTAAATACCAGGGTCTCACAGGCAACGTTTGT